CCCCAAAACCCCAAAACCCCAAAACCCCAAAACCCCTTTGCAATTCTAAAATATTGAAATTAGATTTAATCATGGGAGGAGGAAGCTCAAATGCCAAGAAAAAGAAAGGTAAGATATCCTTGTGCAACAGTAGCATCCAAAGAGACAAGGATGATCACGGTAGTCAGCAAGAAGGTTCCTGATAGCAAGATAACTTACTCTGAGATGCACTCTATTGGGTGGGAAAGACCAGAATCCGCTTTGGTTCCAGATGTTATCGAAAGACCTTCCACGACTATTAATGAGAGTGAAAATATAGCAAGAATCACACCAATGCTTGAAATGCTTGAGCTGCACAATGACCAGGATCTTGATCAGGATTATGTACTGGAAATCTGGGGGAAATATTTTGGAGATAAAGGTATAAATTCTGCTAAAAATTTAGAATTCATTCGTGAAGTGAAGCAATACAGATTCCCGAAAATAAAACAGCTTAGGCTCCGGTGGCTGAGTGGGTTTAAAGGGGATAAGGAAATAAAAGATATCAGCGACTTTTTCAAATAGCAGTGTCAAAGTTTTGGATAAAGGGATTTGTATACATGGAGGTTCAGGGCATTTTGATCTCAGCCAAGTCAAGAAAGGATTTAATTCTTTACTTCCATGTGTGCAAGGTGAAATATATCTTGACACTCTCTACTGAAATGAAGAAATGGTTCAGGTAGTCAAACTTCTCTCCAAAATAATAATTTTTCTCAAAATAACCACACCACCAATCTTCCTTCCTTTACAGTTCTTCCAAGAACTGAATTGGTGTCTAAGTTTGATCTCCTCCCTCTCTGTAACGTTTGTCCTGGCATATCTATATTTCATTAGCGTCAGAGCTTACTATCTCTGTTCCTACTCTAATATATCTAAACTAATATTTCGTTTATCTTCTTATAAGGGTTGACCTCACAAGCCTGTTCGTGCAATGGCTTGGAGATCAGTTGCAACTTCGTTCTGTAAACAGAACTGGAAGAAGCACCCTTCAATAAATTATGTGAAAATGCTTTCCCAGTAGGGAAAGTGCCAGTTTTCACACTGACAAGAACAGATACTACACTTGATCTTAGCCAAAAGGCCGAGAAGGTATGCCTTTGATTGGCTCTTGGGCTTATATACTCTGGATATGTCCAAAATTTTGAAATTTTGAATAATTCGCCTAAATCACACCTTTCAACTCCACTAAGATATGGAAGATTTCAACTCTAACTTTTATTTAGCTCATATTCGAGAAATCTTTCAGAGTGAGAAGAATAGTGTTTTGAAACTGTAAGATAGATATATCAGAGTCATTCTCTCTGTCTCATGTTCCAATGTACAAGCTTCAATCTCTTGGTAAGACGTTTCGATTATTTTGGAATATTAACATCATAGATCTATATTGCAGCTGAGCTGAGGACAACTCAGATTACTTAGATTACATAAAATTACCAATCTTAGCAAAAGCAATGTCTAATACTAACATTGTAAACACACTAGAGCACTTGCATGTAAGAGAGAGCTGGTATAGCAGTAAGGAAGTCTCGAAAATCTTCAAAGTGTAGGCATATTTTAATGATAACTATAGTGAAAATGGCTTTAATGTAGAGATTAATGGATACCATCGCTTTCCAGAAGAGCTAGAGTAATCACATTTCAATTACGATTCTAATAACAGGGGTTTTGGGGTTTTGGGGTTTTGGGGTTTTGGGTTTTGGGG